AGCACCAGCATCATAATCAGTTTTATATCCAAAACACTACATTTAAAGAGGCAAACATGGACCGTTCACAGCATCCCCTTTCTCTAATCTCTGCGCTATTGAGAGCATCTGAAATGGATTCTGTACAGACAAGTTTTATCCACGGCATGGCTTCTGTCAACGTCACAGCCCATGGGCTGTATGAAGTATGCCAGGCAGGGGCTGGGAAAAAACAAAACAAAAACACCATTGGATTTATTAGATGGATAGCATATACAGCCCAGTGTCTGCGGATTTGACACACTTGCTTTAACTAGGTGCTACAGTTTAAGCTATGGGACGCGGGTGGCGCTGTGGGTAAAAGCCTCAGCGCCTAGGGCTTGCCGATCGGAAGGTCGGCAGTTCGAATCCCCGCGGCGGGGTGCGCTCCCGTTGCTCGGTCCCAGCGCCTGCCAACCTAGCAGTTCGAAAGCACCCCCGGGTGCAAGTAGATAAATAGGGACCGCTTACTGGCGGGAAGGTAAACGGCGTTTCCGTGTGCTGCACTGGCTCGCCAGATGCGGCTTTGTCACGCTGGCCACGTGACCCAGAAGTGTCTCCGGACAGCGCTGGCCCCCGGCCTCTTGAGTGAGATGGGCGCACAACCCTAGAGTCTGTCAAGACTGGCCCATACGGGCAGGGGTACCTTTACTACAGTTTAAGCTTAATTGATGCTTTTTAAAGCTTAATTGAGGCTTACGATTTAATTGATGCTTTTGAATTATGGTGCTGGAGGAGACTCTTGAGAGTCCCATGGACTGCAAGAAGATCAAACCTCTCCATTCTTAAGGAAATCAGCCCTGAGTGCTCACTGAAAGGACAGATTCTGAAGCTGAGGCTCCAATACTTTGGCCACCTCATGAGAAGAGAAGACTCCCTGGAAAAGACCCTGATGTTGGGAAAGAGAAGGGGACAGAGGATGAGATGGTTGGACAGTGTTCTCGAAGCTACCAGCATGAGTTTGACCAAACTGCGGGAGGCAGTGGAAGACAGGAGTGCCTGGCGTGCTCTGGTCCATGGGGTCATGAAGAGTCGGACACGACTAAACGACTAAACAACAACAACAACAGTTTAAGCAGGTAAATAAAGCAATATACGTTATAATTATAAGGACAGAGGACGGAACCCATGGGTGCTGCTTTGATCCAGCAAATGGAGAGGAAGGAAGGCAACTTTTACCAAGATTAATTCTGCCTCCTCCCATAGCTCCAAGTGACCCCTGAAAATTAGCAAAGAGAGTTAGTGAATGCCTCTACTTGAGCAAATGCCCTCAGGGGCGGACTTTTGTCTTTCAAATTTCAGTGGCGCCGTGTGTGAAGCCAAAATTCATCAACCCCCCTCCGCAAACCTCTTGCCTTCCATTCTGCTCAATTCACTACATCATGGTTGTGACGCCCTTCAGCGCCTCCTAGGCTCAGCACCCAGTGTGGCAGAACCAATCATGCTGCTCTAAATCCATCTCTGATGCCCTTCTTTGGGTGTATTCTATGCTGATAGCAGGAAGTCAAGAGGGTGGCAGAGCCAAAAGCTGAGGCTTCTCTGCTCCCATGAGAAGAACCTCGTGTTTGGCGATCTTTCACTTAGGCTGTGCTATGGAGGCGAACGTATTTGCCCATTTGTCAAGGATGTGACTGAACTGAGTACAGGAGAAGTGTCAGGCTCAGAAAACGAACAAGGAGAGACAGAGGCTGACTCTGCAGACAAGAACTCACTACCAGAGCTGGGAAAGGGGAGCCTGACCCACACTTCACAAAGAAGTCACAGACACAGATAGCTCCCAAGAAGTGAGAGAGTTAGAAGGCAGTCAGAGGGTTGCTAGGCAACCAGTAGAGAGACAGTGGACAGAGAAACAAAATAAAAAAATTCCTTCCAGGAGCACCTTAGAAACCAACTAAGTTAGTTATTGGTATGAGTTTTCGTGTGCATGCACACTTCTTCAGATACATTGAAACAGAAGTCACCAGACCTTTACATATAGTGAGAGGGTGGGGAGGGATATTACTCAGAAGCGTGGTGGGAATGGGTGATTGGCTGATAGGTGTGGTAAACCTGTTGACGACTGTTAATGACTGCAATTGGTCTTACAGGAAAAAGCAATGGGTGAGATGGCTAAAAATAGCTTTATCATGTATAATGAGATAAGAATCCAATGTCTCTATTCAGACCAAGTATCTCCATGATTTTAAGTTTGATAATAAGTTGTAATTCAGCAACTTCTCTTTCCAGTCTGTTTCTGAAATTCTTTTGTAATATGACAGCTACTTGGAGATCTTGTATAGAATGTCCTGGGAGACTGAAGTGTTCTCCTACTGGATTCCTGTGCTCCTGCACTGTGTGGAGCCAGGATACCACTTTGACAGTGCAGTGTTAGAGAACGAGCAGCTCACCCTCATGTTGCCACGGTAACCAGACAATGCTCCCTTTTGTTTCACACTGAACTATGAGGGTGAGTTCTGTGATAGAGGGTAGAAAAAAATTGGGGTCGGGTGGGGAGATCCACTACTGTTCCTTTTTCCACATAGTATTTTCCACTTTTAGAAAGGTGAAAATAATTAAGTTGCAATGCTAGTCCCACTTACCGTGAAGTAAGCCCCACTGAATTCAGTCTGAGAAGACATGGTGAGGATTGCACTGTTAGTAACAGAATGAATAGATTCATTACCACAAGTCACATTGGGCAACTGGGAGGGGCACACTGCTAGAAAAATCTAAAATCAAAGTTGCAATTATTATTTTTAGATGACTATTCCTTTAAAAAAAAAAACCCTCAGCTTATTCATGCCATGTCTATTCAGAAGTCCTGTTGAATTTAACTGGGTTTACCTCCAGGGAAATGAGGCTAGGATTGCAGCCTTAGTATGTTAGCAGCTTTCAGATCATGATCATGTTTACTTGATTGGAAGGATGTTGAGTTTGTCTGTTGCTTTTAGAATTAGTCTATGATCCTTTAGTTCTTGTTTTTAATCTTATGCATATTTTGTACTGCAAAGGTTTTTTTGTTTCTTAAGTCACCTTCAATTCCCCCACTTAAATCTAAGTAATGAAAGGGGAGTATATGCTTCTGAGTTGCCTGTCATGCCTTAGAACATTTTTGAGCAAAATACTTTCAAAAATAAAATAAAATCCCAGTATAGCTTTGCATTTGTTTCAATGCAACATTTAAACCACACTGCTTATTGATTCCACTTCCCTTGACAAATACTTCAGTTCAGTTACTTTTGACTATTGGAAAAACTTTTCAGTTTTCCAAGTCAGACATTTAAACTAGATATATAAGCCAAAAAATTAAACCATACTGTTTATTGATTCTGTTCCCCTTGGCAAATACTGCAGTTCAACTACTTTTGACTATTGGGAAAACCTTTCAGGTATTATACAGCACAGAAAAATGAAGTCACATACTTTTAATTTTTTTGTTTACTAAATTTGCATCAAACAAAACATAGTAAATCCCATCTCAATTGATTTAGGGCATTGGGGAGGGAATGAATTAGACATTTGCAAGAAAACACCCATCACTGAGACAGTTTTGTTGTCCTTGTATCCACCCAGTTTCCTGGGTAACATAGGGGTATGTTCTGTCTCTTGGTCTAATGTGGACAATGCTATTTCATACAGCCTCAGGGATTATGCCAAATCTGTAGTTAAATCTGATTGGACTGTGACATTATCTCAGTGTTCCCTGTTTGGCTATTTGGCTGGGTTCACATAGCAAGGGAGACACAAAAAGTGTATGAACAGGGGCAGACAGAGGAAACAAAGTGTCTGCAAATATAGGCTCTCCCTCATTGGAAAAAAACCATCACAGTCCTGTCAAAGTGTTCCGTGAGTAGATGTCCCGTGATTCAGAAAAACAGTTCTGGAGGAAACTAAACCAGTAACATTTTATTGTATCATTGTAAAAGTTGCACAGAGTTCCTATGTTGCACCATCCAGTATGCCGTATAAAGCTTTCAGCAGCAAAGATTATGCACATATTGTGTCACAATACTTATGCTGAAAAATGTACACTTAGGTTTTATTTCATCCAATTCTTTTCCGGGATGTGAACATAACAACTGAATACCACAAAGAACGCACTGCAGAGAAATGGGCTAGAATTATGTTATTTATTTATTTTGAAACGTCAGGTAGAAATTAAATTGGCAGAATGCCACTTTGCAAGTTGAAAATTCATTCCAGTCCCTTTATGGCATGGCTTCTCCAGAGCTTTCCAAAGGTAATTTTTAATCATTAATGATTAACTGGCAGACCCAGAGCTGCTGTCCTGTCACGTCTTTCAAAATACATGAGACTTTTACAAAAGCATGACTAGGAGCTGCCTAACTGAAGCCAACACTTACAATGGGTGGTTCCAGTGAAAAGGGGCAAAGCAGAGAGTTTATTGGGCTTCATTGTGTATCTTGAAAACCCCTGAACCCTAAGAGAGCAGCTAAGTGCAGTCTAGGGCCTCTCCAGCCTGGTGTCTTATTGTGGGTCTATTTTGCACCATATTCTTGACACAAAACTAAGGCATTAGTGGTGGGTTTATTCTGCTTTAGTTTGTTCTGCAAAGCTTCCTCAAAGCAAATCATATTATTGCTGTCTGGAGGGGTTACAGGGCAACAAAAGGGGAACAAAAATAGACAAGAACACTTGTGGTACTAAAAGCTATGGGATTTCAGCACGACGTTATGGGCTATGGATTGATTTGAAGTGAAGCAGTAGGACCACACCAAAATTCTTACAAGCTCAAAGAGTATTGGAAGTGGGATCAGACATGACTGCCTCAATAGTATCACGGGGACATATAGAGAGGCCTTTGCTGAGCTATTTTGAATTATGGATGCTCATTCCTTAGATCCCTCTTCAAGTACAGAAATGAATCCGCTTATGCCGCAAAAGCCCCTGAAATTTGTAGGCCAGTTTGAAGCCTCTAGATTGGCCAATCCTGGCTTTCTGCCCTTGCCAACTGAGCAGCATATTCTGCCTACAGTGGTACCTCAGGTTACATACGCTTCAGGTTACAGACTCCGCTAACCCAGAAATAGTGCTTCAGGTTAAGAACTTTGCTTCAGGATGAGAACAGAAATCGTGCAGCGGCGGCGGGAGGCCCCTAAGGCTAAAGTGGTGCTTCAGGTTAAGAACAGTTTCAGGTTAAGTACGGACCTCCGGAATGAATTAAGTACTTAACCTGAGGTACCACTGTACTAGACTTCAAGTGCCAGCTTCAGCACTCAGTTCTACCAGCAGCGATATGCATTTAGTTTTAGCCATAATTAAAACACAAAAAAGCACAAGTCGTTTAGTTTTAGCCTAACTGTGGCCTCAGAGTTGGATGGGGGGGGTGCTTGCCTACTATTGCTCCTCCTTCCCCTTGCCAGCTGTGTCTCTGCCCATGTGCTGCTGCCCATTTCAGTAAGAGAAGCAATATTCATCACCCTGACCTTGCAGGGCCATTGCCCAATGTTGGGAAGAGAGACACATGCTCTTGCCCACTGAGAGACAAAGTGAAGAAACTGGCCACTGTGACCTCATGTTGATGCCGCCCAATTGAAGGAGAGAGATCAGGCATTGTGACCTTTTATTTATGATGCCTGACTGAAGAACTAAGACTGACCACTGTGACCTCAGGCAGATCATGTCTGTCAAAGGATCAGTATTTGCCACTGTGTCCACATATTGCTGACCACTTTTGCACTCCAAACTTTTTGCACTTTCATAAGAAAGGTACCTTTTGCACTCCAAACTGGAAAGGAGTTTCTTAATTTTCTGTCTTATTCTCTTATCCTTTCAAATGCAAGTTTCACTTTTCCTGGCTTGCAGCCCCCACTGTCCACCAATATTTTATTTTAGGTGATTGCTCTGTAGCTGCTGTATGCAAATACAGTGGTACCTCAGGTTAAGAACTTAATTCGTTCTGGATGTCCGTTCTTAACCTGAAACTGTTCTTAACCTGAGGTACCACTTTAGCTAATGGGGCCTCCCACTGCCTCCACACCGCCACCGCACGTTTTCTGTTCTCATCGTGAAGCAAAGTTCTTAACCTGAAGTACTATTTCTGGGTTAGCAGAGTCTGTAACCTGAAGCGTCTGTAACCTGAAGCATCTGTAACCCGAGGTACCAATGTAATGGATAAAATTTGAAATTTGCACTTATCCAGATTATGCAATGCAGTTCTCCAACCAATGTTTACAAAAATGCATATATTAGAGGAGTATGTGCCTAAAAATGACGGTATTTGTGAAAATAACATACATGTTTTCCACATTTCTGCAGCAATTTGTGATCTATTTAAAAAAGAATCATTGTGAAATTTCATCAGCATTTCAGTATGGATTTATCCTATTAAACACATTTTTATATGCAGTTCTGGCCCATGTAAGCACTTTTGAAAGTATTCTTTCCTGATATGCTTGTATGTACATTTTCTCCTTTTGTAGAAAGAAGACATGTGAAGTATTAGCTAATTATTCACACAAGCCGTAGTTTAATGAGAGAAAGTGATTCTCATGAAGAATGAACCTTCTCCAGGTACCCAGAGGTTATGGTGTAAAACAATCAATATTCTAAGCTGAGAAACATCAGTTTTACCTGAAGCTGCACAGCTCCTATGTTCGTGATGTGGCTGCTTTATCAGTAGTGAAGTACCATGAAACGTAAGAAATTATACTTCTTGAAGATTTCATAATTATTGTGCTTTTAATGGAATGAAGGGAGCAAAAACAAGTTTCCAATTATTTTCAGATGCCCTACGGAGAAGAAAGAAGTAGCCGCACTATCTCCAATCCCCCTTTATTATAGTCATTATTTCTTTGCAAGGATGTACAACTTTTGTCAACTACCCTAATAATGACATGAAACACTGAACATTACTGAGTGGGGAAAGCTCTTTCTGCTTTCCAAAGGTTATCAAAAGTGCTGAGAACGGAAGAATAGCAGAGTGATTTGCTCCCCCCCCCCTTTTTATAGAAAACGCAGGTAAAATGCTTCCCAAATTGTTTCTCCATTATTACAATGATGTGCAATGAAACCTTCTGAAAGGTGCAAGTCCTTGAAAGGAGCATACATGCATAATTACCAATAATATTCTGCCAGCCCATATCTTTCAAAAGTTTTAAATGCCGTATTTAATTTTTATCTCCCCGTTTAAGGCTGGACGTATGTTCAGCCCTTTAAAAGCAGCTCAGTTTCACCTTGAAGCAGGAACTGCCCTTCTCTGTACTCTGCCACTGCTTCCAGACTGGGCTTACCATGAATTCCTAAGTGTGCATAACATTACAGCCTTAAACTCTTAATTTCTTCTCAAGAGTTGCCTGTCTTTAATCGCTCCTTGTGATTCATGCTAAATCAGCCACATGCTTTTTCATTGTATCTCTTACTAGTATCCTAATATCACTTAGACCCCCTCACATTTCCTGGAGTTATTGATGCTTCCTCAGTGCTGCCTCCCACAATCGACTGGGTATATGTAAAGCAGGAGCAGGGAACCTGTGGCTTTCCAGATGTTGCTGGACCACAACTACCATCATCCCTGATCACTGACCATTCTGGCTGGGGCTGATGGGACCTGACATCTAACAGCATCTGGAGGGTCACAGGTTCACCATCCTTAATGTCATAACTTCTGTGTCTGTTTGGGAGGCAAGATGCAAAAATGGGTAGGGCTCCTCCACCTTTACTAATTATGTAGTTTTACATGACAACTCTCCTTGGCACACAGATTTGTGTGAGATCTATATCCACGGCTCACTTCTATAAAGCACTGTGCTCAACATACAAGCCTAGTAGGCCTTAATCTTGGTATTGGACGTTAGTATCTGTCAGCTGCGTTCCATTGCTGACAGAGGAGAGAGCGTGGAGAGACAGGAGGTAATTAGGCAGGAATGTGGAACGAGGGAGGAGCAGCTTAGTTGCAGTAGTAATAATAATAATAATAATTTTTATTTATACTCCGCCCTCCCCAGCCAAGGCCGGGCTCAGGGCGGCTAACAAGCAATAATAATAACAAGTTGAATGAATACAACTTAAAAACAAGATTGAAATACAACAGTGAAAATATTGAAACATTAAAATATTAAAATGCAGCCTCATCACAGGAGGAGAAAGGAAACAGAAAAAAGAAAGAGGGGGAGGGAATCAAATTGGCTCCAAGCCAAAGGCCAGGTGGAACAACTCTGTCTTACAGGCCCTGCGGAAAGAAATCAGATCCTGCAGGGCCCTGGTCTCATGAGGCAGAGCATTCCACCAGGCCGGAGCCAGTGTTGAAAAGGCCCTGGCTCTGGTTGAAGCTAATCTAATTCCCTTAGGGCCCAGGACCACTAGGGTGTTGCTATTTATGGACCTTGAGGCTCTCCGTGGGGCATACCGGGAGAGGCGGTCCCGTAGGTACGAGGGTAGAAGCCTGAGCTCCAAGAACAAGGAGAAGGAAGGGGGGAGTTCAAGGAAGAAGACACATCCCAAGATGTATAGGCACACAAGAATTAATGAGAGGCGTGAACAGGAAAGGAAGAGAAAGTGGGGCTTTAAATGTGAGAAGAGGAAGGGGCGGAACTCAGGTTGGGCAACAGCTAATTTGGAAGCAGACGCTGAGTGACTGAGCTCCAGAGTGATTTGTGTGTTTTGAGCAATAAACCTGAGTTTATTACTGCCAGAGTTGTCTCGCTTCTGTGGGAGAGACCCAACCATTACAGTATCACATTCTCCCATTCCCTTTTGGCGAGGCAAGCCATTTACATAGCTGCCTTGCCAGCTCAGCATCGATGGAGAGCTCGCTGGTTATGGTGGAACCCAGGTAGACAAAATTGTCTACCATCCTCAAGCATGTGATCACTAATGCTGATATGTGGAATGCTGGCGACTGAGAAGACCTGCCCTGCAAGACCCACCAACCAAACACCTTATAAAAGGTACAGCATGAAGCTCCAGCTGATCTTAACAAACAGTCTTCTCTTTTTTTGTAAAAATAAATGGATGAAAAACAATTTGTTGCCTGATTGAGGACATCTTTTTAATTGATCAAAAGAGACTTTATCATTTAACTAAATTTTATAGTACTAGTATTGAGTTTTGAGCTGCATGCACATATTCCCAGCTTTCCAATTTCAATTCTCTAAACCACATTATTAACCAATATCCAAATGCTAATTTTTATTAGCATTTGCTTATAAAATATACAAGCCAAGGCACTTCAAATCCCTCCTTGGGAACTTTCAGTTTGAGGCAATCTTTAAAAAGGTGGGCCAGAAACAACACATCCTAATAAGCCGACACACTCACTGTTTTCTGCAGAAGCCTACTTTTCCAAAAGGCGCTCAATTATACTACAGGTCATGAATGTGATTACATTTTAATAAATTAACTATCAGCCAGGTCCTTGAAGACTCTCAGGTGCAGCAGCCCAATTTGAAAAAAGACAGCAAAAATTATAAGAAGAAACCAATTTTGCCGTTTCTGTCCAGCAGAGAATAAATTACATTTCCCCTAAGTGCTTCTTTGTTATTTGGAGTTTCAGCACTTGAATATGTATTGATATTAAACAGCAGACATATAATTAGTTTTGTTTTTGCAATGTAAACAACTAGCACTTTGCACACATACATAATGACAATAACGACCAATTAATTTCCTTCACTGTCCTCTGGTCGAAAGTGTCACAACAGCATTCTATGCCAAACATGCCCTCAGGTAGCCAGAAAATGTCAGATCTGCCTATAAAAAGCACTGGGTGATCATTTCATATCAATACGACAAAGTGGTGTTTTTCCTAAGTACAATGTGGATCAGAGTGTGCGTACTTAAAACCACATTTTGATAAGATGATTTGGCTGGCATGTTGGTTGGCAATGGTCATTCTAGAAAATTAGCCAAAGGTAGTAATTTTGACCTTCAAAAACCTGTAACAGCCAGGTCCTGAGTACCTTAGGACAGTCTGTTTAAAACTTCTGATACCTGAGGCAGACATTTCAAATTATAATTGAAAGCACGCTGCACCTGAGCATATGCTTCACAATGCCCACACCGAGATGCAGCAAAATCAGCCACCTTTTTAAAAAGCTCACCTATTGCATCTCTCTTGGAACAGCTGCACTGAGCATGCTTCCTGACAGAAGTCAGAACCACAGCAGTCATCCTCACTAGGGACCTCCACTGGGCGATTCGGATGCATTATCTACACCAGGCATAATCAGATCACTGAATCACTCCTTATTTGAGAATACAGTAGAATTAAGTGCTCCAATTAGAAGCAGGCACCAAAAAAACAGAAGAAGAAGAAGCCCAGCGCACTAGTGATTTTCTCAAGTCATAGTAGTAAACTTTGGCACATAGATTAGGAACAAATGCCATATGGAGTGCCTTATCCCATATAAATTTCCCCATACCCTTAGATCAGCAAGGGAGGCCCTGCTGTAGGTGTTGGCCTTTTTCCAACTAAGGTTGCTAGGAGTGCAAACAAGGGTTAATTGGTTGTGGCACCCACATTCTGCAATTCTTATGCTTTATATATTGTGCGTGTGTGTGTGTGTGTGTGTGTGTGTGTGTGTGTGTGTGTGTGTTTATTGCTTCAAACCTATCCACTGGAAAATACGTTTTGAGTGAATGAAATCTTCAGAGGCCATACATTTGTTTAGATTTCAATTTATGTGACGATATTAAGACACAGAGCACAACCCCCCACCTCAATCCATTTTCTCTTAGATTCATTTTGTACTGTATCACTCACACTGGCAGAAAGGGGACAGGCTCAAAACCAGGATCATTCTTGTCTTGGCAGTAATAACAATTGTTGTGTAAATCCATCCTTGGGGTAGCACTTTCTTATTGCTGCACCAGTCCAGCAGGAACTCCTCCTTCACGTCAGTGATGGTTCCATGCGCAGAGAGAGAGGAGTGCATATTGTGGATTCAGGACAAGAGTGAAACGAGACTTTATTTCACCCAGGTCAAAGACCCAGTTTGGCACACACACACACCACACACATTTGTGTACACAAACACACTGGCTGGGAGCCTCAGTGGCATCCTTCTGAGAGCTTCACCTGGGTAAAAAAAAAACCCCAGCTAGCTCCCCCCCCCCCCAGCTATGGCACTGATTCAGGACACAATCTTGCATAATTTGGAGGTATGGGAGATGAGAGACCTACAGAAGTATGCAACAGACATACCATTAGTGACCCATGCTTACATTAAATATCTGCTATATCTGCTTGCACTCAGAAAAGCTGCATGTTTCTTGGCCTGATTCCCTCCCCCCCCCCCAATAGTCTTTGGATTCATTTATTTAGAATGGTGGCGGGATTTTAATGTTTTATACTTAGGACCATTGCTATTTTTCTAGAAAAAGAGGTGCCAGAACTCATCATGAATGGGGTCCACCTGAGAGGCGCCGGAACTGAGTTCCGGAGCGTTCCGGCTGAAAAAAAGGCCCTGCTTAGGGAAGTAATGATGTATGGAAGTGAGAGCTGGACCATAAAGAAGGCTGATCACCGAAGAATTGATGCTTTTGAATTATGGTGCTGGAGGAGACTCTTGAGAGTCCCATGGACTGCAAGAAGATCAAACCTCTCCATTCTGAAGGAAATCAGCCCTGAGTGCTCACTGGAAGGACAGATCGTGAAGCTGAGGCTCCAATACCTTGGCCAACTCATGAGAAGAGAAGACTCCCTGAAAAGATCCGGATGTTGGGAAAGATGGAGAGCACAAGGAGAAGGGGACGACAGAGGACGAGATGGTTGGACAGTGTTCTCGAAGCTACCAGCATGAGTTCGACTAAATTGCGGGAGGCAGTGGAAGATAGGAGTGCCTGGCGTGCTCTGATCCATGGCGTCACAAAGAGTCGGACACGACTAAATGACTAAACAACAGGGAAGTAATGCACATAGCTGGCCCTCACAGATTACTACTTTTGGAGGGTTGTGTGCTTTCTGTTTCAGGGACTTAATCCTCCCATGTAAACCACT